TAATTATATTATATACTGCAAATGTGCGCCTATTATATTTATACGAATTGGTGGATATTGTTAAATACATAATAAAAAAGATGTGTTAAATTAAACATGGGTTATGTATACCTAGGGTACAGTATGTTAATTTCTACATTGATACATAAAGTGCTAGAAGCATATTATATAATGCAATATTAATAACAATGACTATATGCGCGCTATGTTATATTTACGAGTTGACAAATGTTGTGAAACACATACAAAAAAACATGTAGAACTAATTAAATTAAACATGTGTTATGAATACACAGTGTACAATATGGTATCCCTTATTAATTTTAATAAACATATGGATTGTCTTTTAAATTAAGTCAGGTGAACACGTTAAATTTTCGAATAACAGACTGCTGTTATATTATTTAGTATTATTATTAGTATTATTATTAAATACTTTTGGTTTATTAATGGCAAGAGGCCATGTAGGTATTTCCATCATATGGACAGATCTACCAGGTGATAAATACTCAGAGCAATAAGAATCAGGGCAATCAACTTGGGGTAGGGGGTCAATATTAAAATAAGGTAATGATACGTTTCTACAGGTTAGCACTAAGTTCCTTATTACGACATTATTCGTCTAGCCGAACTGTCTGTAATTTTTCGTATTATTTTCTTTAAATCTTCACCCACTCGCCGCCCGCGCTATCTATCTCTCTTAGTGCACTATCATTTCAGTGGCAGACACAGGAATTCGTAATAGAGGGGCCACGGGAGGAATTTTCAGTGATTCGCAGACCACCGACATGAGCGGACGGGGCTGAGCTGTCCGACAGGGGGTGATTTGAGCTTGTAGGCCTGAGCTGGGGAAGGGTTCGAGAGGGGGTTCCCCCTCCCAAATGAGATTTTTTTTAAAGAATAGGAACCTCTGGATGCGGGGGGAGGGGGAAGAGATTGACCTGTCTGGTGTGGAGATTTAAGCCAATGCTGCCCCCCCCCCCCGCTGGTGCCACCGCTGACCTGAGACCCACTATGGTTGGAACTGAGGTAAAAAATCTTATGATTATGGCACCTCTACACTACCGGAAATGGAACTCTCAGACATAAATTTGTTTACAATTTTCTATCTTTCCCTATTATGTTTTTTGCTTTTAAAATTTTTGAATCCGCCACTGCATTTTCCCAGTGGCGTGACTAAGTTCCAATGGGCCCTTGTTCGAGGGTAGGCCTACATGTAGTCATAACACAGGTTAAGAATGCTATATCCAGTTAAATACCGTGATGGCCAAATCACATTTTTTTTATAATAGAAATAAGACAGTGTATTGAAAAATTGATAGAAAAATACATTTTTCCTTAGATGGGCACGGCTACTGCATTATGGGCACCACCAGTACTGCAGGTGTTATTACATTTTATATATTAATCCTTAGATGGGCACCTCTGTTGCAGTATGGGCACCACTACTGAAGGTGTTGTTATATTTTATATATTAATCCTTAGATGGGCACTGCTACTGCATTATGGGCACCACTGCAGGTGTTGTTATATTTTATATATTAATCCTTAGATGGGTACCGCTACTGCATTATGGGCACCACTACTGCAGGTGTTGTTTTTTCTATATATTAATCCTTAGATGGACACCGCTGTTGCAGTATTGGCACCACTACTGAAGGTGTTGTTATATTTTATATATTACTCCTTAGATGGGCACTGCTACTGCATTATGGGCACCACTATTGCATTATGGGCACCACTACTGCAGGTGTTGTTTTTTTCTATATATTAATCCTTAGATGGGCACCGCTTCTGCAATATGGGGCTCCACTGCTGCAGGTGTTGTTAAATTTTATTTATTAATCCTTAGATGGCCACCATTAATGCAAGTGTTGTTATATATTAATCCTTAGATGGGCACCACTGCTGCAGGTGTTGTTATATTCTATATATTAAACCTTAAATGGGCACCGCTACTGCAGGTGTTGTTATATTTTATATTCCTTACATGGGCACCGCTACTGCATTCTGGGCACCGCTACTGCAGCCTGCAGGTGTTGTTATATTTTATATATTAATCCTTAGATGGGCACCGCTACTGCAGGTGTTGTTATATTTTATATTCCTTACATGGGCACCGCTACTGCATTATGGGCACCACTACTGCAGGTGTTATTACATTTTATATATTTGTTTTCACGTTTCCTTTTTCAAATATAAAACAAGGGAACATTGTTCTCTGGTAATAAAAATAAAACGTAGGCCTACGTACGTGTGCTGTGTCGTCGTAGGCGCCTTAAAAAAACGAAAACAGCTCTTGGTGTAGTACCCGAACAGTGTCTTGGCGTTGCCGTCACGGTCCATTAGTTCGTAGTAGACTGGCCGCGTAGTCAAAACGAAAATGCATATTAATGGCAGGAGGCCATGTAGGTATTTCCATCATATGGACAGATCTACCAGGTGATAAATACTTAAAGCAATAAGAATCAGGCGAATCAATTTGGGGTGGAGGGTCAATATTAAAATAAGGTACTGATACGTTTCTACAGGAGTTCAACTCAGGTCCTACGGCGGCCTCGGCTAGGGTGGAAGGACAACGAAATTCAGAAATCAGCAATTATTAGATATAGACTAATTTCAGTGATTTTTTTATTTAGATTTTAGATAGTCCTATAACGGTAATACCCCCAGAGAGTGATGCGGTAAGAAGTAGAGACTCACGGTTTGATGTTGGAATTACTTAATAATCTAAACCTTATTGCTTTGCATCGCAATAGAATTGTTGATTTTGTGAGTGAGGTCCGTGAAAATGGGTATGCCCGCGTCCTCCGTACGACAAGCCTGGATATCCCGCACCCCGTCGTAGGACGCCACGACGAAGGTTTGATGGAGAGTTAAAAAGAGAATTGTATGATAAGGGGCAATTTTCTTGGCTTTTTCATTTTAGGAACAACATCGTTAATATGCGTATGGGTATATATATATATTTTGAAAGGCAAATGGGAAAACCCCATAAAACAGCAAACAAACGGCCATATAATGCAAAACAATTTACAATTAAAATTAAAACGGAACAGTAGAGAAAATCCGATCAGAATGACAAAATAAACTAAGCATCCACTGGAAGGAATCCCAATATCTGCAGACGGATCCGTTTCGGCCTTCCAGGCCTCATCAGTGCAGCTAGGGTACAGACCCAAACGAAACGTTCGACCAGCTTAGGTAGGGCCCAAACTAGTCCCACGACCATTAATGATTACAGAGCCAAACCAAGCCAATATATATATACAGCCCAGGTGTGAATGCAAATAGTGGAATACAAGCTATGCGGCTCGGTTCCAGTAGATAGAGAGAATATTTTGTCATTCTTAACGCGTCCTACAAAATTCTTACGAGACAGCACTAGTCCGCGA